TTATATTTATTTATTTATTTATTTAAAATTAAATTAAAACAAATAAAAATTAAAATATATATTATTGTAAATAAAACCGGAAATATCAAAAGCAATATCTCGTTTCACATGTCAAAGAGAAAAATACAATTTTATGCGAAATGAATTCTCTTCAATTGCTATTCCATCATTGTAGCCCATTTTGATAATAAAACTGATATAACGGAACGATGATTAGTTTTATATCCCAGCTGCAGATAAAGCAAATACTCAGTATCCAAAATTTTTTGAAAGACTTTTAGGGTCAAACACGAGAGGCAAATGTGAAAATGGCAATAACGTACCCGACCGTTTATAACGCCACGTGCGACTGCTGCCGTAAAATTGCAAGAATTTCCGCTCGAATTGTGGCGCAACTGAGTTGTAAAGGATGCCATTTCCCATTTCTCATGTTGGAGACCAGTAACAATTAATATCTAACTACATTGTTTCATAGAGAGAGAGAGAGAGAGAGAGAGAGAGAGAGAGAGAGAGAGAGAGAGAGAGAGAACATTGAAATATAAAATAAAAATAATTATTTCTAGGGAGATATGTTCATAATTAAAGATTCATTGTTTTCCAAAATAAAATGTACATAATATTCTAGGAGAAGAGAGAGAGAGAGAGAGAGAGAGAGAGATTCTCGCTTTGTTGACACAGAGACTTCAAATAGCTGCTTGCGGAATAGAACTAAAAGCTCTCCAAACGGTTAAATCAATTTGCATAACTGAGTTCCGTACTTTAGATTAACTCTTCGTCTCGTGTGACAACGACATACTCAAATTTGCCATTAAAATAAATTGAATATTGATTAAACGTCGCCTTTTATCTTATCTTATATGTATAATGTACGTTATGTTTCTATTAAGATTTATTATAATCGGCAATTTTCTCTTTATGCCTACATTAAACTTGTTACCATAAATATATGTTTACATGCTCGTATTGATCTCCTTCGAATTCCTATCCGGTATAGATAAAAACGTGATTTTGTTTATATAGGAAAATACCTGATCACGTTCTGTATGCGAAAATCAACCAACAATGTTGTGGTCGCCGGTTGAATTTTTTTTATGTTCCATTTAATCCAATTATTTTACCGAATAACGTCAGTTAATATAAATATTTGAAAACTGTGAGAGACGCACAGACAGGTACCAATGGTTGCAGTGAAACAAAATCAGATTAAGTGAAATATCATACATAAATACAGTGAAAAATAGAATTACGAAAAACAAAATTGCCTCTAGCGCTGCTTGCAACTATTTTTTCTTTTGTTTTGTTTGTTATAGAACTATGTATCTACTGCTGTGCTATGTTTATAATTTACAATTTTACTTTACAATTTTGATATATATCATTAATTTAGAATACAAAGTTGATTTTGATAAAAATTTAATTTAAAATGTAAAAGTGGTGTAATATCCGATAAAATTCCCTCCTATTAAAGAAAACTCGGGAGATCACAAACATTCCGCAGCTAAAAGAGAATACGATTATTTTGCAATACTCCAGTATATAAGGACATATTTAAGCCGTAAGCAACTCGCGCTAGGCTATAATAAGATTCTATAAGGGGCATGATATCTGCATACTTCATCGCCAGAAAAGTGAGGAATGCTGAAAATATCCCGACCCCGTGTTCGTCAAATTGGTCGTATCGATTATCGATTGCAGCCACGAAAGACTTGGGTTTCAACGGTGAGTTTCGAATTATCATCGCTTTCACGAAAAAGCGCTACTTCATCTTCTATTAAGTCAAGTAAGATAGCGATATTCGTTATATCTTCATTATATAAATGAAATTAAATTCTGATAATCCATAACAACGCTAATTTTCATTAAAACACTTAATGATTTATATTAAATAAATAATTACTAATAAATAATTATTAAATATATATATTGTTATGAATTGGATTCTAACTATATATATACATATATAAATATTAAGAAATAAATTATGTTTTAATTTTATAGTAAGTTAATAAAAATGAAAAAAAGTAATAAAAATCTATAACGTTAATTTTCATTAAGACACTTAATGATTTATATTAAATAAATAATTATTACACAATATATATGTTTAATAATTATTTATGAGTAATTATTTATTTAATATAAATCATTGTTAATGGAAAGAGTAAAAAATTTACTTAATTTACCTAATAATCAGAACATTTAAAAAAAAATTCTTTCCATTAATAATGACTCATTAAACCACGAGAAAATCTCCAAATTCATCAGAGAAAACGATCCTATCTCTGGTCCCGATTTTACGTATTCATGCCGTATACCAATTATTCGCTAATTGGTCCTAATTGATTTCATCTGCTCGCTCGTATTCGCGTTGCGTTCGTTTATTTAATCGCCATCGTGCAGGTAGGAGATAGACGCATGTGTATTCCATTATCCCGACTTATCCCCGTAAGAAGAA